GAGAGAGAGAGAGAGAGAGAGAGAGAGAGAGAGAGAGAGAGACAGAGAGAGACAGAGAGAGAGAGAGATAGCACTTTGAATAATCAAAATATTCTTTGAAAAGAACGTAAAAATAATCCAACAGCCCACTCCAAATACCTTGTCGGCTGTAAGGCTCATATAAGTGGACAAATTGGTCGCGCTGATCCGAACATAGCTCCCAGGTCTGGGCAGGTAGTGTACAGTTGGCGATACGCCATCGTCCGTGTTGACCGTTACTTGGGTCGACCAACCTCGGGACAGGACCCGGAACTCCTCAGACGGGAGGGTGTAGGGGAGAACCAGGAGAACAAACTCCCGGCCGAAGGTTTGGGTGGGAGGAGACGTCTCCACCATGTGGGACCGGCACTGGGACTGGTGGGCCGTGCGGTTCACGCCAGACCACACGCCGATGGGGGAACTACCCTTCACGTGTGTACCTGGGGAAGTGTGGGGTGTGGGTAGAATGTAAGGGAGCACTATCGTTGTCGCTACTGTTGTCTTCGTAATTATTATCATTCATATATAGATAGATAGGTTTTTTTCAGATCAAATTAAATGTACACATAAGAAATACAAATGCCACATACCAAGTTTAACAGCCTTTAGAAAGTTTCACGCCACATAGAAAGTTCAAATGTTCAATTGGAAATTTTAGTGAACCATTTTGTGTAACAAGTTCAAATTTACAAATATCGAATCCAAATGAAACACAATAGCACGTTCAAATGCCACATAGCAAACGCAAATATCCTCCACAAAAACAGTTCAGCGTGAGAAGCATTTTAATGTGGTCAAACTGAGTTGACGACAACTATAAGCAATTTAATTTTAGGGTGAATTGATCACTTTTTTAAAAATCCCGAGGATGCTCCCGCGGAAAGAAATTCTGATTGGACAGAAGCAACCAGACATCAATATGCAGCATGGCTGATGCAGAACATTTAGCGGTATGAATTTGTCTTCATCAGTGAGGCTGGTATCAAGCTGTTGACGAAGAGAAACCGAGGATGAGCACGGAGTGGTCCATGCTTTGTTCCAGTAGTGCAGGGTCAAAGGGGATCGAACCACACGATGACATTTACTGTCAGTGATGAGAGTAGCCTGGTTTTTCACGACTTTCAAGATTTCCAAGTAGAGGGAATGACAGCTATCAGTTCAACCCATCCCTCTAAGAAACTGTTCCAACAATCCCCACAACGAAGTATGCTTGGTATGTAACAACGCTTGTGCACAAAGGCAAGCTTTAAATGGCAACTCATCAATAGATTGGGGGTGAAATATTTTTCCCCTGTACACCTTTTCTTAACATCTGCGAGAACCCTTGTGAATTTGGAAATACGACTTGAAACGGAGGCTCGTTAAAACCAAAGGCTAAATGCTCACTCAGCTGACTCATCAATAAAGGAGGAGTCACACCTGCCCAGAAGAAGGAACAAAAAAACCCCAAGCCGTGACTATAATGAATATGACAGC